CATCGTGTTGGTCAAATCTGAACCTTCTAGAAACTCTTTTGAACAAATGGCAATGTTAACTGTAGTTAAATACAAAGGAATCCAATCAGTTCTACTGATCTTAAAATACTTAGGAGCCCATTCTCTTCTCAGTGGGGGAAAGGGACCCACCTAGTTGCTATTAATAGTAATGGAAGCACTAATACGCTGACCCATAATCCAGTGACCCTTTTTTTGGTTTTAATCAATATATCCTGAAATTCTTAACTCCCATATGAGCTGCATTTGATAAATAATAAAGCACTTTAATTGAGCATAAAAATCTGATTCTGATCAACAGCTAAACATGTGGAACTTCTCTGGATTTCTTGAACAGTAAGAACTAGAAGTTCTCAAAATCATCATAACAGGCAAACTTTGCCAGAAGGATGGGTAGCCTCCCTCAAAGGAATTGTGGGAAATCCTGTGATGTCAGAATATATAAATACAGAGTATATAATCTCCAGAGATAAATTAGCTTATCATCCCAAAACCTCCTCTCCCCTAAGAAAGGGAGCTTGGCCTCAGGTTACCACCAACTTCTCCCTCTGCTCATGTTTTTGCTAAGGTGGTTATTCGATACGGGAAAATACAACAAAGATTTTTACCTAAGACCACGGCCTAAACAAGCGAATGTTTCTCTTTTAATATAGAGCATTAGAAATCCACCCCGAAAGCAAAAGCATTTAAAGACATACATGAATTTGAAACTTTTTTGTGTGTTTTGCTACTCCTCCCCCAAGGATAATTTTCCATTGATCTTTTTTAGAGAAAGTGGGAGAGAAAGGGAAAGACAGAGAGAAACATCAATGTGAGAGAAACACATCAATCGGTTGCCTCCTGACCAGGGCCTGGGCTGGGGAGGAGTCTACAACCAAGGTATGTACCCTTGAGTCCACAGGCTGATACTCTATCCACTGAACCAAACCGGCTAGGGCTGCCTTTGAAACTTTTAATGTATTCTTCTGTTTAGGGCTGTATGTTAACAGCTTCTAAATATGAATGGGCCTTAACTTAGACTAAATGGCAGCTCGTATGAAGAAAATGAGGTAGCCCTAACCGGTTTGGCTCAGTAGATAGAACGTCAGCCTGCGGACTCAAGGGTCCCAGGTTCGATTCTGGTCAAGGCATGTACCTTGGCTGCGGGCACGTCCCCAGTAGGGAGTGTGCAGGAGGCAGCTGATCGATGTTTCTGGCTCTCTATCCCTCTCCCTTCCTCTCTGTGAAAAATCAATAAAATATATTTTTTTAAAAAAGAAAATGAGGTAATTCTTCTTGGAGGTCTTCATTTTTGCATTTATTGATGCCTAAAGTTAACTGGTTACCAGCTCGAAACTGTTTAGCAATCCAGATTTCAAAAAAAGCACAGTGATGCATGCTGGGTAAGCATAATAAACATTGTTTACTTTATTTAAGTAGTAGCATGTGGTCAGTGTTAGCCTAAACCGAAAAAATAATCAACAGTCTGCTGCCTAAAGATAGCAAAATAATTTTAGACATTGTGAAACATGAAAATTCAAGAAAACTGTTATTCCTAAAGAAAGCATTCCAGTCTAGTGAGAAGCACTCACTTAGAGATTCACTCTATGACCTTGAGGAATTAGGAATTTTGCTTCCTAGTTTTGCCCCTTCCTACTGATATGGTTTTGCAGAACTGCAGAAGGGTGACATTATTCACTTTGGGGATGGTCCACTCCAATGAGCCGAGGAGAGGGAGACCAGCACTCGCCAAGTGAGTAGTGAAGGGGCTACCAGTCTAGTCATCTTCCTACTACAAGAGGCTCCCGCTCCTCCGAGGGGATCATTTTGTCCAGATCCTCCCTAAGAACACGCTGAGGGAGTGGAATGGTGCGTGATGCTTTTAATAAGGCTGAATCAAAATCAAAATCAAGGTAACAATGTCCCACGTTTCTTCAAACACCATTTAATCAGTCAGGGAGAGGAACACAGCCTATGCATAATCCAAGCCGGGCGGGAAAATGCCACATGACCAAGGAGACTACTTCTTTCACAACTTTGGTTAACTTTGCAAACACACTAAACATGGAAAATCTGTCTTATAAAAAGCCTCTTAACATTTCTCCATTCTTTGCTTATTTTTGCTCCTTATCTGAGGTATCAGGGCTTGGCTGTGTTGGAGGTAGAATTGATGGGCATAAATGTGACCAGACTATAAGGCCTGGTTGCTTCTTCAAGTTCAACGGTTTGAAGGAGAGAATCTCCACAATGGAAGAAATAAGCGGCGCAATGCAGATCAGTTGAATAATAATAACAGTTATTACTATTACCAAAAGCTGTAACTAAAATAGCTAATATTTATTGCATGCTTACCATGTGCCTAGTGCTGTGCTAAACGCTTTCTATTTCATTGAATCATACCCTTCCAGCTGACGCCCTATTATCTCTGGCAGAATAAACTTCCCAGGGGAGACCTGATGGATTCTGGGAGGAGGTGCCGAGTAAGTAGGGCTCACTTTGGAGCAGATGCAGAGGTGCTGAGGGCGAGAGCTCACCCAAGGGACTCCATCGGTCTCTTGTAACACCCACAGCACCACCATCCCTGACACAGAGCCAGAGGCAACTCGTGTCTAGGTGAACTTGCAAATTCCTGACATTCATTCCCACTTTTGAGCAACAACAAACATACAAACAAAAAGAACTAAAGACAAGAAGTGGGGGAGGACACTCTTAACTTCCCCCACTTCCTTCTCTTGGGATTCCCCTTGTTCCCGGCTCAGGGGTAGAGCAGAAAATCATGGTGTCCCCGGTGGGTATGGTGTAGAGCTGGCTGGAAAGAGAACCACAGCCTTAGAAGGAGACACCCTGCCCCCTTCAGGGCCTCCGAGGACGGGCACAGTCATGTAGATGGATAGGTGCTTTACCATTTTAGGAGGTTTACTAAGTGTGTGTGTGCATACAAACAGTCACATCTCCACACAGTTACAAAGTAGACAAAGGACCCGGTACAATGGGTGGCACAGAACAGCACTTGATAAATGTGTTTTCTTTCTCACTCCTACTCCCCAAGGAGGCACATCATAACATAAACGGCATTCAAGATGCTCAGACAGTTCTTTCATTCCATCAGCTATCGCTGACGATTCCACCTCCTGATTTTTTTTTTTTATTATAATCACTCACTTCAGAACTCGGGGATTTACACGACATCAAATGGGTAATAAGTAACAAATTTGAGGCAGAGATGGTTATTTAGCTGATGAAAAGCTAGTGTCAACAGAAAGATTTCAACCTCTGGATCAGTTATTGCTACTTCTGGGAATGTCAAATCTGACGAGATCCCAGGGATTCTAATGGCAATTTCTTCTTGAATCTATTTAAAATACAAATGGAGGTTTTATTTAATTAGGCTGCAGGCTCTGACCAATAATTCACACGGGTTCTATTTCTGTTTAAGTGCAGAACTGACAAGAAAAAAAAAATGACCATCTGCTTTCCACAAACAAAATATCCTTTGGGTGCTTAGCAAGCGAAAGAAAACTGTACCTAATGCTTTGTGTCTCTTTTTAAACCCTAAAATCACTATAGGAAACCATACTAGAACAGTATGCACTACCACGTCATAACACTGAGTTTTAAATGTTACCTGCTATTCAGATACAGATGGAGACATACCAAAATGAAACTATATTCAGGAAAGAGCAACTAGTTTTAACAACATTACAAATGTGCAGGAACTAAAGAGGGAACAACGTTAACCGTTAAGGCAGCATTGGTTGAGTCTTCTCTGGGAACGGAAGCATTACATATTTCAGAGACCAGTGAATGTTTTTTAAAAACAATTAATTAAAATAAATAATAAAATAATATTTTGAAAAAGAAATAGGGCTGATTTTAGGACTCCTGCTCTTCCAACTTATACTGGAATTTTAATTTTGAATTAGAAAGCATACACAAGGAATACAATGGTACAAAGCTGTAGCAGTCTTACCTCAGATACAAAATAAAGACCCCAGGAAATTATTATTATTAATTCGCACTCTTTGGGCTCCTTTTCTACTTCAGTTCGGAGTAGTTGGTAGAAAATCCTGCTGATGTTTCCATCACAAGGGGTCAGGTTGGATTTTACCTGAGTGAAATGGTTTTAAACTAAAAACCTATCATCATGCTTGGGTTTTTACAACTAGGTCCTTACTGCTGGGTTTGCTTACCTGGTCGGCTGCCTATAGCACTATGTCCCCAACACTGGTGCCAACCTAAAACGATGATACCTACTGTGGCTGAAAAAGTCATACGTTGACCAAAATATATCAAAGCACAACACATTTCCCAATCTGTTCCCTTTGCAGCTTGTTTGGTTGGGTTTTCCTGGCTCAGCCTCAACATTACCTTTAGTTCTTTTACAGATCCAGTGCTATGTGCTGACAGAACAACGGTGTGACACAAAGAACAGATTAAAGGAAAACAAAAAACTCTAAAAAATATTCAAGTGAAAAGAGCTTTCACGTGGTGCTGAGAAATAGGACATAGGCACTTCTGCTTCAGGAGGTTTTCACATTTTGATCCAGATCGCTTTTCCAAGCCACTTCTTTTACTACTGGCATAACAATATGGTACACACCGTCTAGTTTACTGGAAACCTTGCTCCCACAAGCAGCTTCTGGCACATTCATCTTGTCCCACGAAACTGTCTTCGCCGATGCAGAGGGAAGCTCCTCCTAGTGCTGAGATCAAGGCCGAGTGCGTCTCCACTACCTTCCACCAAGCAAGGCTGCTTAATCTGCAGAACTCGGTTATCCATCAACACAATATAAAGAGGAGTGTCAAGTGCAATTTTCCTTCTGGAAATAGTGAATGTCTGCCTCTCCTTCTGGTTCTTTTTGTGAGTGTAATTGAACAAAGCATATATAGTCTTCAAAACATTCTAAAGCTACTAGGCTACTGGGATTTTTTTGGGGGAAAATCACTAAAGTTTTCTTCTTCTTCTTTTTTTTTCTTAGAAAATCTGTGCTAAAAAGGCACTAGAAAACATGAACGTCCTTGCTCCTGTGTATGTAGCAATTACACATGGTATTAGATTCCATAATTTAACAAAGGTGACACACATTTGGATGAAACATCCTAAGTATTCAGAATCATCTACTTTCAGTTAAAAAAAAAATCCAAAGTCAAAGAAACAGCAGGTCACACTGACAGAGGCCAGTCCGGCCATGAGGTCACGGTCATCGCCGGCTGCCCCATGGCAGTGGCCCGGACCCAGGGCAGGCTCACTGGCAGCAGCTGTGGGAGCCAAGCCTCCTGGAGACCTGAGTAAATGAGACGAAGGTGAAGTTCTCACAGTTTTCCAGCTTGACCTTCTTGGCTAAGTTTGGGACAATTCCCCGAAGAGACCGCAGTCCCATCCTCTGCTCCTCATACCACACGCTGCCCATGTCGACAGCCTCCTTCCTGGCGGTAAGGTAGAAAGGGGACTTGGCCTCCATCTGGGTGGGGGGCCGGTGGATGTACATGTACTTGTAGAGCAGGCAGTAAGGACACTGTTTGTGCCCCCTGGAATGCTCGTGGTAGATTTTCCCGTGACATATGCGAGTGGAAGCACTCCGACTCTCCCGCTTGACACTGTCCGTCCGGGCAAAATAGGGCTGGTTTTGTGGGTCTTTGAGCAGCTCGATGTCGCCGTACATCAGATCTGCATGCTCCTGCAGTGTCCGCATGTTCAGGTATTGGCTGTTGTACTTGACCACAGTGGACAGGAGAGTGATGGGGCTGTCATCCCCTAGGCACCCCGCCTGCCACATCTCCTCCTCGTCGGAGAGGGAGAAGTAGATGATATTGCGAGAACGGGCCCCTGACATCCCTGCCTTGCTCAGGACCCACAGCTTCTCCTTGAGTTTCTTGGTGGAAGAACTGAAGGTGCTGCTGGTGATGGAAAAGCCCACACCTGCATTCTTCAGGATGCGGTCCAGGCCCCGGCGGATGGCATGGAGCGAGGTGGCCAGGAAGTCCGAGCCGTCGCTCTTCTTAACGGTGACGTAAAAGTTCTCAAGCAGCTCGTTCAACTTCACTGCAGGGATCTCAAATGAGACAAACACGGAGGTTACACATTTGAGGACACCCAGAGAGCCAGACCCCTCCTTCCTGCTCCTACCCCTCACCAGGGGCGGTACTTTAGACAAGACCTCTAAAGAGTTGATGCATGACATAGTGGAAAGAACAGTGAACTTCAAGCTGAAAGAGCTAGGTTCCATACTTGGCTCCACTTTACCTCTTTAAACCTCAGTGTTCCAAGCTGTAAAATGGGGACATGATGATCAACACCTTCTCAAAGAATTCCTACAATGCTTAAAGCAGTGGACTCGAAAGGGTTTATAAACAGTAATGAACACACACACATGATATTGTTACTATTGGCCTTTATAACTTTCACTATTCCTCTCTGGAAAGCCCTTTCTTCTCTTTTCTAGCAAATCCTTTCCTTCCCTCCCCTTCAATAAAATTCAACCATCCAGGGTGGGTGGGTGGGAAGAGATCAACCAAAGAACCGGTATGCGTATATGCATAACCCATGGACACAGACAATAGAGGGATGGAGGCCTGGGGTGGGGGCAGACTACAAGGGGTCAACGGGAGAAAAAGGGACACATGTAATACTTTCAACAATAAAGATTTAACCCCCCCACAAACTTCTTGTTAATGGATGCACTGGAGATTTAATAATTCATTTTTACAATAAAAGAAACATGTTAATATTGTTTTTTTAAAAATGCAACCATCCTCTCTAAAGAATTGCTGACCTAAACTTGTCAAACTCTGAATCATTCCAACATTAATTTCCTTGATATCTGCACATAAAATTTGGTACTGCTGGCCCTAAACATGGTGCTGTAGGGAGAGATGACCCATATGACCAGTTAATAATCCTTGAATTGTCACTTGAATTTATCAGGATAGGTTTGCAAGTGTCTCTGGATCAATGATCCACAGGGTTTCGATATCAATATTTGTTCCACAGATAAGAAAAATGTATTTGGTTTACATCTGATGACTTCAGGTATTGGCAAGAGATCAACTCTCATTATCAGTAGAAAAGAAAAAAAACCCAAGGGAAGGCTTCTGATTGGCCCACTCTTGATCCAAACAACTGACCAAAAAATGGGCCATTGTACTAACATGATGGCTTCTGCAATAACCATGGGAATTATAGGAGAGAAATGGCTCCTAAGTAAGAAGTTTGACCAGAAAATCTTATTTATTACCTTCTCACTTAACAAAACAAATTCTGATAGCTTCCTGTTGCCCTTAGGATAAATTCCAAACTGTTTACCTTGTCTGCAAGTCTTCACAATCTGGCTCCACTCTGTGGTAGATTATCTGTAAAAATAGCCACAATAACTCGCCCCCTCCCTATTCCTATACCCCTTGGCAACGTGACTTTGCTGTTCCTCCCATCAAGAGGTAGAATCTATTTTCCCACCCTTGGAACCTGGACTGGCTGTGACTTATTCTGGTCAATAAAATGTAACATGTGGCCCTAGCCGGCTTGGCTCAGTGGATAGAGCGTCAGCCTGTAGACTGAAGGGTCCCAGGTTTGATTCCGGCCAAGGGCACATGCCTGGGTTGCGGGCTCAATCCCCAGTAGAGGGCGTGCAAGAGGCAGCCGATCAATGATTCTCTCTCATCATTGATGTTTCTATCTCTCTCTCTTTCTCCCTTCCTCTCTGAAATCAATAAAGAAATATTTTTTAAAAAAATGTAACATGTGACGATGTGTGAATTTTAAGCCTAGGCCTCAAGAGATTCCACTTTCATCTGCTTTTGTCTTACAGGTTCTCTTACAAGTTCTGCTTTCATCATCTTAGTACGATGTTGCCTTGTGAGAAAGCCCTGTTAGACCATGAGAACATGTGAAGTGGAGACAAGCTGTCTGTCTTCTAATATCAGATGACTGCACCCACATGTGTACCTCAACTGAACCCAGTAGAAGAACCACCCAGCTGAGCACAACCTGTAGAATCATGAGCAAGTAAAATGAGTGTTGTGTTATACCACTAAGTTTTGGGGTGGTTTGTTATGCGGGGATAGGTAGCTGGTACACACCGTATTTCTCCAGCCTCCTCATCTGTTCTCTTTGTGCTCTATTTCTAGCCTCCCTGAACTTTGTGTCATTGATAGAAACCACAACACCCTTTCCTGCATCTATTTCTTTGCACATGCTACCTCCTCTAACTAGAATGCATTTTCTACTAACTTTCTCTATTTGGGAAAATTTCAATGCATTATTTCAGATCTAGCTCAAATTCTGCTGTCTAGATAAAGGCTTCTCCAGCTTCCCTAAGCAAAGTTACTCTCTCACCTGGGATCCCACAGCAGTTAAATTTTATTATGGCTCTCTCCATATTGCACAAACTTTTATCTATTTATATGTCTATGTCTCAGAGTGGACTGAAAGTCCACTGCATCTTATACATGACTGGGTCTTCATTACATACTGGAATGCCTGAACTATATCACTGATGCCCAATGGACATGGGTTAAATCAATGAATTAACCTTGGAGTCAGGAGAACCAAGGTGACTTATCATGCAGAACATTTTTCTGACTTACACAGAATACCACAAGTTTCTTTCTTTTTTTAACTCTTTATTGATTACATATGTGTCCTTATCCCCCATTGCCCCACCCCCCGCTCATGCCCTCACCCCTTAGTGTCTGTGTCCATTGGTTATGCTTATATGCATGCATACAAGTCCTTTGAATACCACAAGTTTCAAAGTAAAATCACAGCAAAAGCAATTCTTGAAGAAATGTCAAATCACAAAATTTATATTATTGGCACACAAGAAACCATTCATTCTGGCCTGTGTTGGCTGCCTCCTTCTTGGACTGAGTTTTGGTTGGGGATTACTCTGCCAGATTACCAAGGTCTTCAATTTGTTATAAAGACGTTGCAAGAACCACTGTGAATAGATTTACCATCTCAAAAGTTCACCCTGGATTATAAATTTGGCTCCCTTGATGTAAAAATGAAAAACAAAAAGAGCTCAGTCATGGGGCTGATGACTTCAGATGGTAAAGAACAAAATAAGAAAAAAAACCCAAAAACTGACATGTTAGGCAAATTCCAAAATTCTGGAACTACACAGCAAACCTTGAAACTTGACAGAGTTATAAGACAAGTAAAAAGCAAGAGTTACTTTTAGGAGAAACTTCCCTTTGTGATAATCTTGTCTAGGGGGATGAAGTGGAGAAATGCCTATGAACTACATCACTCCAATGGCAAACAAAATGACTCTGCTTTTGCAGTTACCAAATTTTACTTTATTTAGAAAGATAGGTACTGAGCTTCAAGGTGCTCTATTTTCTGAGTGAGTTTAAGGAATATAGAAATCAATGACATAGTAACCTTGAGGGAGATGGATCAATGAGGACTGGGTCACACCTGTATTAAAAAAATACTAAATTAAATACTCAGAGTAGATCAAAGAATGATCATAGAATGAGAATGACAGTGTATACTCTACTTATATAGATGATATTTTGAAGTCTCATTAGATTCCTTGCTTTCTTTCTTAAACAAATTTGAGGCTCACCAGCTGCCAAATCATGACCAAGAGGTGTTACCTACTTTGTCTTCTGCCAGCTACATCTATCTTTAAAGACACATCTAGACTAAAAATATCTTGCATTGAGACCAAGAAAGTGAGATTAAAGAATATGGGCCAAGATGCCTCAGTTCTTTCTTGTAAATAATTATTGGATAAATTCTCTAAGATACTGACCTCTTTCTTAAGCGTTTATTATTAAAAATATTTCAGTGACCCATGTGAGTAGATTACAGAGGATTGAAATACATCTTCTTCTTCACCATATTCTAGATAACACAGGGGAAACGAAGAAATACTAGTACCTAAAGAAGTGGTGGTAGGTGCACTCTACTGAACATTGTCATCACCTGGGATGCATATGTTATCTAAGCCATGGAGGGTATGGAGAAATGAAACCCTTTTCATGGATTCCTGAATGGAAATAGAAAGTGTCCCAGTAATAGACAACTGTCTTCATAGCACTTCACTGACCTCTGGTCTAGAAAAGGTTAAGGTAAGTGAGGATGAAGAACCAAAAATGAGGGTCTCTGAGAACAGGTGAATTTAAAGGTGAAAGTTACATTTTATTTATTTAATTGTCATAATACACATATATATGTATTATGTATATGTTTTCAATCTTAAACATTTACAAGTGTATAATTCAGTGGCATTAAGTACACTGACAATGTTGTATAACCGTCACCACTATTCATTTCCAGACCTTTTTTTTATCATTACAAATAGAAACTGTACTCATTAAACAATAATCCCACTTTTCCTCCTCCCTCCAGCCCCTGGTAATCTCCATTCTACTTTCTGTCTCTATGAACTTACCTATTCCAGGTGCCTTACATAAATGGAATCATATATATCTGTCCTTTTGTGTCTGGCTTATTTCACTTAGCATAATGTTTTCAAGGTTCATCCACATTGTAGCATGTATCAGTACTTCATTTCTTTTTATTGCTAAATAAAATTCCATTGTATGGATATGCCACATTTTGTTTATTCATTCATCTGACTTTTGGGTTGTTTCTACATTTTGGCTATTGTAAATAATGCTATAATGAATATTTATGTACAAGTTTTTGTATAATCTATGTTTTCCATATTTTGGGTATTTGCCTAGGAGTGGAACTGCTCAGTGACAGAGTAACTATATATTTAACTTTGGGGGAACTTCAAGACTGTTTCCAAACAGGCTGCATTATTTTACACTCCCACCAGAAGTGTATAAGGATTCAGTTTCTCTACATCCTCATCAACAGATGTTAGCTTCTGTTGCATCTTTTTAAAATTCCAGTCCTTCCTTCCTACTGGATGTGAAGTGGAATCTCATGTGCTTTTGATTTGCATTTATCTCCCTGATGTCTAATGAAGCTGAGCATATTTTCATGTGCTTCCTGGCCATTTGCTTATCTTCTTTATAATAACTGTTCAATGCCCTTGTCTGCTAATTCTAAAATCCATGTCTGCATTTTGGTTGTTTCAGGCAGGAGGATAAATCTGGCTCTCCAAATTGGCTAGAAGTGAAAGATAGAACTGATTTCTCTCCTGGGCATGGGTCACATGTTCCCACTTCTTCCTATGAGTGGTAATATTTGATTGGATGCTAGAAATTGTTGAATTCTGGGTTTGTCATACTTTTCAATGGATGTTGGGACTTCTTTCTAGTATCCTCATGTCCTTGGCCTCCCTAGACCCTGATCCCTGTCTTCCCTCAACTCAACAAGATTTATTCCCAGGCTCTGCTTGGGTTCCCCTCCCTTCATTGCAGCTCAGAAACTGCCTCCAGGCAGAAAGCCTGAGACCTGGTAGCACTCATCTCATTTGTTACCTTTCTCTTAGGGATCAATCCTGTGCTACCTGTCACGTCTGAAAAGGGTTGTTTCACACACTGGGCCCAGTTTTCTAATTGTCACAGCAGGAGGATAAATCTAGATCTTTTCATTCCCTTCTGACCGCAGTGGAAATTTCAATTTATTTTCAAATCTGCTCATTTTGATTAGTTTGTTATTGCTTGTACATTTTTATACAGTATTTATTTTTGATCCACAGTTGGAAATCCACACATGCAGATTTCAACTCTGCAGGGGTCGGCACCCCTCACCCCGATGTTGTTCAAGGGTCAACTATAATTCTCTTTATTTCTATAAACATTTCATCCATTCGTAGCCTTTAATCTATTATCGAAAATCCTGGATGTCTAAATCTGTTGTTTGTTTTCCTTGAGTGGCTTGTGATTTTTTTTTTAACATTTCCCTTCAAAGACTATTACCATATAACTCTGTGAGAAGCTAGGGTATGCTACTCACCTAGAACTTCTCAAGCCCCTTTCAGGGTCCTCTCTTCAATCAAGGATTCTTCAGTTCACCTACCTGTCTCTTCTCTTCCTTAATAATGTTGTCAACATATGCCCTCAGGTAGAGCCCTGCCTTTCAGATGTGCTTACTGCTCACTGCTCCACTCTCAGCTGTCCTTTTTGTTGGCCCTGTGGTGGTGCCCCATTTCTCTGCAGGTACAGCATGGAGGCCCCCTGCTGTGTCCGGTGCACCGTGCTGTCAGAAGCAGAAACCTGGGTTTCCTATTCATCTCTTGTTGGTGCCCTACATCAGCGGTCGCCAACCTTTCAGACCAGTTGGCGACCGCTGCCCTACATCACCCAAACTTGGGGATGACACCTGCCCTTGAACTTCAATTATAACCTCTATTTGCAAGACCTTTAAATCTATCCTTCTAGATTTAACATTTCCCCCATGTTGGAAATCCCAGATTCCCAACTGCTTATTGGACATGTCCATCTGGACATCTGTCTGATGTATACTCAATAGATCCAAATAAAAATACAACATCTTTGTCTTCTGTCTCTACCCGTCCAAAGATTTTTTCTTCCAGTCACAAACCCCAAACATTTCAAGTTGGAAGAGATTTTCAGAACTCATTTTATCACTGGGGAAAAGAAAATGAGGACCAAAGATATTAACTACATTTTTGTTCATCACTTCCAATTAATTTATCTAAAATAGCGCTTTCGTTATGTTCCTTCCCACTCAAAAACCTTCAATGGTTTCCCTTTTGCCTAAACCTTGACACTTACGACTCTTATGGTTAAGAGATTCTCCCTATTACAATAGTCCCTTCCCCACTGCCCCTGCAATAATCCTTCAAATAAAATCTCTCCTGTCAAACAAAAGCAAAACAAAACTTCAGTGATTTCCCAATAGTCACAAGACTATAGCTAGGGTTATCAAAATCTAGTTTTATAGCCCATCATTTCCATGTATGAAGCCTCTGCTATAGGCAAGTGAGTCTAATCCTCCAAATCTTCCTCAGAAGACATCTATCTTTATCCAATTCTATTGAAATTCTACGTCTCTTCCATTAATACAGCCTAACTATCAATGCTTTTGCTAGTGTCACCATGTTGAAATTAATTTATTTAACTGATTTGGGGGGGCATTTCTGATCTATAAATTCATCGAACACTTACTAAATTCTGCTTTGTACTATAGACATGTTTCTTTCTATTTTATGTTCTTTCAAAGTTTCTCCAGGCAGAAAGCAACTGTTCTGTGCTCCCCACCATGCTCAGTACAGTGCCTGGCACGTGGAAGCTCAGTGAAGTTGGCTGAAAGAAGTAAATTCAAGAGTTCCTTACCTTGGTGATGTCCGTGTGATCTTTGAGCCCATTGGTCATGCACCAGTAGCGCCACACATTCAGGGCATACCGCGTGGCTTTGGTAGTATTTGGGCTTACTGCACTGGTACACAGATCATTCAAGTCATCATTAATATTAAATACAGGAAATTTGTTGAGCTTAGTAGAATATGCTAGAAACAGAAAAAATGAAAGGTATTAAAATAATGTGCCATTCCCTTCTTTAGAAAATTATATCTTGGGATCATGCTAAATAACAGAAAACTCCTAAGAGATAACACTTTCAAAATATGAAATTCCTATCAAGTATACATATATTAGGATAAGTATAATAGAGAACAATATTTCTAGCATGAAATCAATGCAGTAACCTTGCATTTAATCCCAACAATTTTGCTATACACACTAATTGATGCACGAATGCAGGCATTCCAATAAAAAAAGGGGGGGGGGAGAATGAGTGCAGAGAAACAAAGAATGTTCTATCTAAAAATTTCACTGGAAAAACAACAGCACTTCTATTAACAACAACAGCAAAAAGAAGACAAGTCCCTCTCTCCTTACCCTCAGCATATGAAGAGCTGTTATTTCCCTGTGATATATAGTCTCAAATGTCTTATGTGCCATCCTGGGCAGCCTTGAATTAAATGGTGTCAGCATATTTCTTTAATTCTTCTCACAAATTAATAAAGAGAGAGATATCTGAACCCTGACTCCACAACTTATCAGCTAGCTTAGAATCAGAATTCAAGGGCAAGGGAGAGAAATATTAGGGGAAGGTACAGGGATACTCTGGAAAAGCTCACATGGTTTCAGAAAAAGGGAGCAGATCTTAAATTGCAATTGCCAGATTACTTCAGATGAAAACTGGTTTTCTTCCATGTATCCACCTAAGTATTGGTTGCCAAAGAGATAAGTCCATAACCATTAGTGGGCCCTTCCTCATACTCTGTGATCTACTAAAACCAGGATTAAACTGTTCAAATCGTGAACTTTGGCTAAAAACAAACAAACAAACAAACAAGGTAGGCCACCTCAAAGTAAAAACAATGCCAACTAGTACTTTATATCTAATGGTTCTCTTTCTCTAGAATATTTCTACATTCAAACAAGGAACTAAAGGCTCAGAAATAGCAAAATGAAGTTAATTCAGTTAGCAAGGTGATCTGCAAATTGGCTTACTTTGCCTAACTTGCCTCAACTTTCACGGCTCCCACTGAGGCATCTGCCTATACCCAGGACACTCACACCACACCTTCCCCACACTTAGCCTGCGACATCTCCCATGGTCTTTGTACCAATCGAAAGTGGTCTTTTTTTCATTTCCAATTCAAGCTTACTTCTACGTAATCCTTCCCCACACTACTGAACTTCCTTATTCTCTCCTTCAGTATGTCTCACACTTGCTTTATTCCAATGCTAGAAAAGCTATCAGTAGCAACCGAGTCATGTAGGTATATTTCTCTCATCATCCACATAAACCGAGATAACTTGTATTTTCTGGGACTCACTTGATATTAATGAAAGGATTCTAGTATAAAATGTATTATTGTTATATCTAGCACTAACTCAATGTTTACTAGATGCCAAGAGTTATGTAAATTATCTGTAAGCTCTAAGCAACCCTAATTCTGTACCTATGTTACAAATAAGGAAACGAAACCTCATACACTTAATAGCTTCATACATCACTCATACAATATTTACTGAGATACACTCTCTGGGCCAGGCCCTGTGCTGTCCCAAGTCATGGAGTTAGCAGGTGAGAGTCGGGGTTTGGACCTGGGTTCCGCTGACTCCATGCTCTGGAATCAGATACTCCAGGGATAAAGTTCTCAGTGAAGAATGCAATTTAAATATTAGCCATCTATAAAAGTATATGCTGTCCCCCCCCCCCGCCCCCAATTTACTCAGATTCACCTTCAGCAAGGAAAACGAAGTCTGATTTATTTGGACAAACACTATGTAGATTTTTTTAAAACAACAAAAAATAGCATTCTTTGCAACACAGCCCAGTCCCCATCACTTCATTACAGCGTAAGTATAGAAGAGACACTGCAAGATAGGATAATACATTGGATTATTATGTTACGTGATGATGTGATCTTAAATAATTTCATTTTAATCACAGGACAGACTGCACACTGAAAATGGAAACCTCTGTTCCTATGAAGCTTTGCCAATTGGCCCATAATATTCTGTATTGGGAAAGGATCCCATTCAGCATCGTATATTGTGTTTAGTTATGTCCTGTTTCTCGGTCTTTCATTGGAACTTTTGCAATTTGCAACAGCATGGATGGACCTGGAGAGCATTATGCTAAGCGAAATAAGCCAGTCGGAGAAAGATAAATATCACATGATCTCATTCATATGTGGGATATAATGATCAACACAATTTGATGAACGAAAATAGATCCAGAGACTAAGAAACACTGATCAGTGTCCAACCTCAGAGAAAGGTGGGGGTGGGGGTGGGGGAGGAGGTAAGAGATCAACCAAAGGACTTGTATGCATGCATATTGGCATAACCAATGGACACGGACACTGGGGTGGTGGGGGCTTGTTCTGGGAGGTGGGAGTGGCGGGGGGGGGGTCAATTGGGGGAAAAAGAGACATGTAATACTTTAAATAATAAAAAAGAAAAAGAAAATGAAAATAATAACCAAGAGGCTTTGCCCTGAAAGATATAAATATGTACTATAACACTGCAATAATTTAAAGTGTAAATTATGGTAAAAAAAATAAATCAATGCTACATAAGAGAGTCCAGAAAAGATGTGTAAATAGGCAAATTGAGTATATAATAAAGGCTCCAGTTGAAATTGCTGGGGAAAGGGTGGACTCTTCAGTAGGTACTTTGAGATAATAAGCTATTAAGTTAGAAAAAACAAAAGCAAATTTAGATTCCTATTTCATACCACAAGTAACACATTTCCAAATAGTTAATTTTTTCAAAAAGCTATTTCCATAAGGAAGACAATTTTCATGATTTTGGGTATAAGAAAAGCCTTACTCAGTATGACACAGGCTAGAGATATAAAAAACAGATTAATATATCAGATGACATAAAAATCCAAAAGTTCTGCCTTGAATACATCTCAAAAGATAATAACCAGACTCAGAGATAATACTTATAACACATAAAGTGACAAAGTATATATGAAAAGCACCTACAAATCAATTGAAAAAAGACAACTCAAGAAAATGGGCCCAGGATATGAGAAGCAACTATTCACAGAAGAAATACAAATAACAAAAAGCATTAGTAATAATCAGATATTATAATCAAAATAAGATGCATTTATCAGACTGGGAAAACTACAAAGGGCCCATTTCTTAATGTTGACTAGGCTATGGGGGAACTTGCAGTAGTATAGAAAAAAATTTGGAAGGATACACATCACATTGGTTAATATCTCTCTGTGGGACTTCTAGGTTTTACAATATGAATATATATATATTACTTTTTGCAAGTTATAAAAATCACTAGGACTTTGGAAATATACACATAGGAAAAATAAAATGATCTTTTTAATGAAATAAATAAAATGTTCTTTTTAATAAAAGAGGAATTCCTCTTTTAGAAATTTATCCTAAAGGCATAATCAGAAATATGTATAAAAAGGTATGCTCCCTGGTGTTCTTTAGGCATATTTGTAAAAGTGAAAACTGGAAGCAAATTCAATTCAAAAAAAGCATTATAAAAAAGATTTTGGTACTACTATGCAATGGAAAACCATGTAGCTATATAATAATCACATTTTCAAAGGCTAAAGATCTTTTACAATGGTACAAAACAGTAAATATAGTTTGACTACAATTTTTTAAAAATATTTTTTATTGATTTTTTACAGAGAGGAAGGGAGAGGGATAGAGAGCTAGAAACATCGATGAGAGAGAAACATCAATCAGCCGCCTCCTGCACACCTACCACTGGGGATGTGCCCGCAACCAAGGCACATGCCCATGACTGGAATCGAACCTGGGACCCTTCAGTCCGCAGGCCGACGCTCTATCCACTGAGCCAAACCGGTCAGGGCATTGACTACAATTTTAATCCTCACCCGAGGATATGTTTTTCATTGATTCTAGAGAGGGGCAGGGAGAGGGAGAGAGAAACATCGATGTGGGAGAAACATTGATTAGTTGCCTCCCGTACGCACCCCAACTGGGGATAGAACCCTCAACCTGGATATGTGCCCTCTCAGTGAATAGAACCAGCAACCCTTTGGTACGTGGGATGACGCTATAGTCAATTGAGCCACACTGGCCACGGCAACCACCATTTTTGAAAGTATAACTGACCCTTGAACAACATGGGTTTGAACTGGGTGGATCCACAAATAAATGGATTATTTTCAATAAATACATATAGTGGGGTAAATGCACTTTCTCTTCTTTATGATTTCCTAAGTAACAGTTTCTTTTCTGTAGCTTACTTTCTTGTAAGAACACAGTATATAATACATGTTACATACAAAATATATGTTAATTGACTGTTTATGTTACCAGTAGATTAACAGTAGGCCAGTAGTAGTTAAATTTTGAGGGGAATCAAAAGCTATACACGGATTTTCAACTGCATGGAGGGTCAGCACTCCTAACCTCTTCATTGTTCAAAGGTCAAGGGGCATTCATGCTTTAAAAATTCTGAAATAAAACACCAGAGTGTTAAAAGTTGTTATTTATGGGTAATAAGATTCCTGTGACTTTAATTTCCTATTTTATTATATTTATTATTTGCTGAATTATTCACAATATTTACTTATTGCCTTAACATTTTAAAAACATTATAAATTTTAATTAAATATACTTTAAAAACCCCACAATAGTTTGGTCTTAAAATATTTGCCACCAAATTCAATGATATAACCAACATTTTCAGGTTATATATTTTAACCAACATTAAGTATGCTCCACATATTAGCAATTTTAGTAACTTGAAATCTTAGAAAAGATTATTCTGAATAAATAAATTTAAAATAAATAATACTTCAAAATAGAAAACATTTCCTGACTTGTAGGTTAAATATTACTGAACTTGAATTCTAATATTCTTCCCCTATCAGGGAAATAAAATTTGTCACATTTTAAATGTATTACTTGTTTCTTAAAGTACTAGGAAAACATTAAAAATTAAGTTACAACTATTTATAAGTATCTTTTTATTG